GGCTTCCAGTCCAGCACCTGAACCACTCTACCACACTGCCTCTGTTCCTTAGCCGCAGTTTCACAGGCTTGCTTTCAAGGACCCCGGCCTAGCTTGTCAATGCAATCTCCTTCAAAGCAGTTCCTGCACATTAGTTAACCAATATAATGAATAAACAAATGGACTGATCACCCCTCAGGGAAGAAAAGTCCTAACACGTGTCTTGTCTGTCAGATATATATTGTGGGAACAGCCTTTCCCTTTGTGGTGTTTGGCTAGAGGGGTTCCCAAACTTGGCAACTTTAAGACTTGTGGACTTCAATTCCCAGAATTCTTCAGCCAGCTGAAGAATTCTGGGAGTTGAAGTCCACAAGTCTTAAAGTTGCCAAGTTTGGGAACCCCTCTAGCCAAACACCACAAAGGGAAAGGCTGTTCCCACAATATATATCTGACAGACAAGACACGTGTTAGGACTTTTCTTCCCTGAGGGGTGATCAGTCCATTTGTTTATTCATTATATTGGTTAACTAATGTGCAGGAACTGCTTTGAAGGAGAATGCATTGACAAGCTAGGCCGGGGTCCTTAAAAGGAAGCCTGTGAAACTGCAGCTAAGGAACAGAGGCAGTGTGGTAGAGTGGTTCAGGTGCTGGACTGGAAGCCACCACTATACCTGGAATCTGGGCTGAGTGACTTTCAGCCAATTACTTTCTCTGAGATTGGGAAGTGGGATATTTCTACCAAATCACATTAGACCGGCATGGTCTAATTATAGTTTGTGATCTTCAGTGACAAGTCTTTCATCTTGCTTTGGATTATTTCAGGTTGATGGGGGGGAAATTGCATGTTTGTATAGGTCCACTACAATACAGAGAGTCCTTCCTTAGCAAAGACTTGTTCAGTTTACCATTCAAAGTTATTACAGAAAAGAAACTACAAGAATTCAGGATTTAGCCATTTCAAGATCATTTAAGCCATTGTCATTCTCTGACTCATCTCTGAGTTCTGTTTCTCTGAACTTCTTGGAAATAGGAATATTCTTACAAATATTCTGTTTTCTCTGTTTACTTTCATTTTCTTCCCATATAGTTCCCCCTCTCCCCAGCTTAATGCCAAATGCTCCCACAAATACATATAATAATATATTATTATAGAACTCAGTAGGTACATTCTTCCTTTTCATATAAATATATTAGATTTGTGCTGAGGGAGTTCTTGAAGCAAAAGTCCTTAGATATTTTTGCAAAAATTTGTTCAGTATCTGATTTACAACTTTATGATAAATGCTTATTTACATGTCTTCTTATAATTACACTGGTGCCAAATGGCGGTGAATGTATTTTATACATTTAATAAACAAGTATTAATATTTTAATTACGTAAGTATTTTTATTCAGAAGCTAGGCCTCTTACTATTTCATAGCCTCACAAGGTTGTTTCAATGAGAAAGAGGGACTGCCTGGAGGAAAAGAATAATAATGTACATTTGCAGAAAATCTGTGAAAAAGAAGTCTAGGTCATCACACAGTTTGAATCCTGATGTGGTTATGCATGAACTCTTCAGTTGCCAGAGAGAAATAGAACTGGGCTCTGAGTAGGATCTGTGAAGACAATAAACAGGATAGCTTTCCTGCAGATTCTGTTTCCTACCTCCTGAATGGTGTTACCATTCAGCTCTGTAAGCTTTTAAAATCAACAGCTCATGACTTTCTTTGTATTGCTTTTTCCTGTCATGAGACTAGTGGCATTATTCACAGAAAGATTCCCCTTTAGTGAATCCTCATGATTTTGTTAAAATCTGCTGAGCTGCAAGTTAGAGCTTAGGCAGAATATAGAACAATTAAAAAGGAAGGATCCCAAGTGAGACAACCTGTTGCAAGATTTAAAAATTATTTTTCTCTTTCTCTTATTTTTTTTAAAACCCACCCTCTAGATTTCTCAATCACATTATTTTGATCAGAAAATGGCGTCTGCTCTGGAATCTCTTTTTGAATATGTGGACAAACATCAAGACCTTTATGTGGAGGTAGGTAGCTCTTTCCAGAACATAAAATCCATAAACTCTTCCTTTGAGACTACAAGATTTTAAAAGTTTACACAACTGCATTGTTCTTTCCTTGAATAGTGGGTGTGGAACAATCATGGCAAAGCAATTCCCAGCTAATCTTAGTTGATAAGATCGAAGAAGAGTTGACTCTGCTTATTCCAAGAGTTGTAGGCTGGGAATAAAGTTTCCTTTGGAGAGTCACTCAATTCTCTCATTGCAGCATTATAGTATAATAAATGTGAATCTCAAGGTTGATGGAGATGGAATAGTCCATTCTCAAAGTTAATGAGGCCAAGAACAAATTAAAGGACCCGAAGCACTCTGCAAGATTACTAAACTGAGGAGTTCTTGGTGCTCTCTGGGTTTGGTTGTTGCAGACATTTCATTACCCAAACTAGGTATAACATCAGATTGATGTTACCCAGTTTGGGTGATAAAACATCTGCAAGAAAACAAGCTCAGAGAGCACCAAAGAACCCTCATTTCCATACTGAAATGCAAAAGTTGTCTTTTATGGATTACAAATATTTCTGGGTTCACCTTTACAATAGCTTGGTTTCATGGCAGCACCAATATATCATAGTATGAAGCAAAGAATTGAGAAAAGGAATAGTGGATGTGATAGGTTTTATGTAAGTCAGAGAGTGGGGGATCTAAACCCTGAGGGAATGCATTCCATTACTGGGCAAGAACAGCACAGATGGGGCTTTCCTGGGTGCTAGGTAAATGACCATCTAGCCATCACAACATCTTTAGAAGAATCACTCCTGCAAATCTTAATGGTGAGCAAGATAACCAACCCTTGGTGTGAACCTAGCTTTAAAAGATTGTTGAAATAAATGGAGGGCTGAAAAGTAGGAGGAATAGGATTTTGTACTTATGACCTTTGGAGTTGTAACTTCACCTTGATAAAAGAACAGAATCTCATTTTGGCACGGTTGCAATTCTTTAGACTCGTAACTAAGAGTTACAACTATTATTTTGGACCATGAAGCAACCTTTATTGCACTAGGTAGAAACAGCCCTTCTCTTACTTGGTCCCCAAGATCCAAAATCGTTCGCTAGCTTAGCTAAGGGGCTATATTGAAATATGCCATTCTTGGGCTCAAGATTAAGTGAGTGTAGAAACCACTACAATTCTGCTGCACTATTTATTTTTATTCATTTATTACAATTATAATTGCCACCCATCTCGTTTCAAAGCTGCAGTTTCTGGTGGCTTACAGTGTTAAAAGCATTAAGACAATAAGATAAACTAAATAAAAAATATGGTTAAAAGATGGGGAGTGAGTGAGCAGGATGCATGTGGGATTGCCTCTTAAGTCATCAACAATCTCCAGTGTGATGCTCCCCACACTGGATCCCTTAAACCACCTGAAAGAGCCAGGTCTTCAGGTCTGATCTCATCTCAGGGATAAGAAGTTCCAGAGGGCAGAAGCCACAACCAGAATTCTCTGACTGACAGGGTCCTCAACGTGCTTACCTGTATTATATTTAACAATCAGTAGAAATCCTTGATTGTGGTCTGGGAACAATTAAAAAGAATTCTGGCTTCTCTGTTAATTCCAGAATACTTGCAATTTTTCTTTATGGATCTGTCTCCCCTAAAGAAAATGATCTCATTTCATTTTTTTTCCCTTTCACTCTTCTTACCCATCATGTTTGCTATTTTCTAAACTGTTCGTGAGTAGCGTCTAGCTCAGTGGGTCGCAATACAGAGTGTGTCAGCATGGCCGGAAAAGCGAGAAGAAATCAGACGGATGATGGAGGTTGCTGCAAAGGATATTGAACGGCTTGGGGGCACAACTGAACTGATAGATGTCGGGAAGCAGACGGTAAGAAGAGGGGTCGTTATCAAGAAACTATTGGGAGAGCAGAAAGAGCTATAATCATAAGTAAAAAATAAAAAGGTTCCATCCAATTGAGCTCAACATGGCATGTAGTATAGCCTTTATTGTCGTTGTACATCATGTATACAGTGAAATTATACTACTTTAATATAGCTCAGTATGAAAATGTTTTTTGCCTTTTTGTTTTTCCAGTCTAATCTATATCCCTAGGATTTCCTGATGGTCTCTCATCCAAGAACTACACAGGGCCAAAACTGCTTATCATTGTTTGCTTATTTGTTTTGGAAGTCTGCTGAAATTGTCTAGAGTTGTGCCATTTTTAGATAATCATATTCAGATGGCAACTAGCTTTCTTTTTGCTCTTTGTGTCTTTAGATGAGAGAGTGGGTTGTTGTTGTTTTTAGTGTATGGCACGTGTTAGCCAGGGATCACCAAGGTGGCTGGTGAAAAGAATTTTTGGGGGTGGTGTTATCTTCACCCGCGGAACATCTGAATGCCGGCAGGCAATTGGGGCAGCCTTTCTTGCCCCTATGTGATTTATTCGATCACAGAAATCAAGCCGTCGACCTCAGCAGTGCGCAGGCCCAGCGTCTTACCACATGAGCCACCACGGCCCCCTTAGATGAGAGGTGCTCAGCAGGGATAGGAGGAGGCCTTTGTATTTGGCAGTGGAAGGAGAGTTTGTATTTGTGAAAGTGTGGAGAGAAGTCTGCATGCTGAAGTTTGCAGTGCAAGAGGGGAAAGTTTCTTCACTGCTAAAGAGAGGCCCCCTCTAGCTTGGAACCCAGAATATACTGCTGCTTGTGGGGGCAACAATACTGCCCTTCCTGGTCCTGTGAGTGACAGGCTATGATCTGTCAATCTTTGTGCTGCCCTCCTGTCCCCACTTGAGCCTGAGCTAATTAAGCAGTTTCTCTCAGTAGGCAGGCAGGCAGGTGTGCACTTGTAGGCAGTTTCTCTTTGAAAGGAAGTATCTGATCTTCAGAGTCCCAGGTTCAACCTGTTCTCCTGGGTTAATTCTATATTTCCCCTCTGAGGACAAGCCCAATCCTTGTTTCTGCCAGGGTTTGAGTCAGCATATTGGCAGTGGAGCACTCTCGTGCTCTCTCTTAAGGCTTTTATGGCGCAATTGCCTGGCCCTTGCTCCTGACCAGAGCCTCTAGATTAGACTTCCCTATCCTGGATGTCCTTCAGATAGCTGGGAATTCTGGGAAGTGAAGTATACATATGTGGAAGACACCAGTTTGGGGAAGGATATTAATGGACTTCTATAAGCCTTTTTTGACCATATAAACAAATGTTGAGAAAGAGAGATGAAGGAATTGATAGTTACACTGTCCCCCCTCCCTCCCTTTCTCTTTTCTCTTTCTGGCATACTATTACTAACATGAATTATTGTGTTTATGAGACAAAAATTATTTTTTAGTCTTTCTAATCTTTTTTTCTCTTCAAGTTATAGTTTTCATAGAAATGAGACTTCCATGTATTTCCTAGTGACACTACCTTCAGAAATAATACCTGAATTCATTGATAACCAGGCTAAGCCAATACTCATGGATCCAAGACAATGATACTGTTAGCATGTTGTGCACTTCTTTCTTTAAACAAAGGGTTACTGTATTTTTTAGAGTATAAGAGGTACCTTTTTCCCTCAAAAAGAGGCTGAAAATCTGGGTGCATCTTATGCACTGAATACAGCATTTTTTTCCCCCGAAACCCCATCCCTTTCACCAAAATGGCTGTGCATAGCTTTTAGAAGGCTTTCAGAGTTCTCCTGGGGGCTGGGGAGTGCAGACGTGAGCAAAAAACAGCCTGTTTTTTGCTCAATTTCCCCCCTCCCCTAGACCTCAGGAGCACTCTATAAGCCTCCTAAAGGCTATCCATGCCCTTTTTTGACAAAAAAACAGGCCCATTTTCGTGAAAAATGGACCATTTTTGGGAGGTTTGTAAAGTGCAAAACCTTTTCTTTTAAATTGCCTCTTCAAAACCTTGGTGAGTCTTATACTCCGGTACATCTTATACTCTAAAAAATATGGTATACTATACTTTAAAACAAAATGTTATCAATGGTCTCTCGACATCATTGGAGTGAAAAGACCAGACTTTTAATATTTTGTGTGGGTTTGAAGGAGTGAAATCTGTGTCTCAAACATTATTCGGCTTTAAAAAAAACCTGTTTTTCCTTAACCCATGTTTCAGGTGAGAAAAATAAGAGTTTGTAGACATTTTAAAGAACGTGTGCCAAGATTAAAGCTCCTCCTTTTGCCGCTCTTGCAAACGTGAAAGACAGCATCCTGGGGTCATGTAAACAAAAAATGGGAAGATGCATGTATACTAAAACTTACATCCCTGTGCTAAAATTTTTGCATTTTACCCTTTTATAATAAATATTATACAGTACAAAATAGTTCTACATATAGCAATTTCTCAATAGCTCTACACTGACACCTAGTGTTTCTAAATTACAGTTGCCTGATGGTAGTAAGATTCCTCTACCTCCAATAATTCTGGGCAAACTTGGCTCAGATCCTTGCAAAAAAACTGTTTGTGTCTATGGCCATTTGGATGTGCAACCTGCAGCTTTAGAGGATGGCTGGGACAGCGAACCCTTTGTCTTGATAGAAAGAGAAGGTAAGACTTGTCTATACCTGATCTGTGCTTCTATATGTCAAATCTTGAGAATAAATGTTAAGTTGCTCTCATGTTGTTGCTTTCAAGTTGGGTTTTTTAATTGAGTTCTCTGTTTACTCTTTACACATAACCTGCAAGCGTGCCCAAATTAGTTGTGACAGAAGATACACACGTAAACCAGAGACCAAGTTGTCTTAATTGTGTTTGTTCAAATAATTTATTTCTTTATTTAAAGCAATGATTCCCGTCTCTCTGAAAAATTGGACACAATGTGCACAGTAGCTGCTTAACTTTAACAAAGTATAGGTGATGTATTTAAGATCATGCAAATGCTGCTGAAGTACAGTGTCCAAACTCTTATATAATTTCCTGTGCACTGGGACATCTGGAAGTCATTGTACTGGGACATCTGGAAGGCCATTCCAAGCCCTAATTTTAAAGGTTAATTACCAAGCCCTAATCTTAGAGGTGGTATCTCTTTAGCACGCTGTGAATTATTTCCAAGCAAGCTTAGATAAATTTCCTTTGTGACCTGGCTTATGTAGGATTGTAATAAATGTTGAGTATAGGCAACCAAAAGGATTTTAGAGCAGTTCTATACAACTGGGTTAATTCTTCTACATGTGTTCAACTAGGGACAAAAAAAACCCGGAAAATTCACACAGCAGAAAATGCAAAGTAATTATAGTTCAATAAGCTGCATCTTTTCATTAGAGTTGTACGGTTTTTTTTTGTATGATGCTCATGGATTTCCAGTCTTTATATTCATATCTAGAACTTGGAAAGCATGTAAGGGGCTCTGTGGCTCCATAGTGGTGAATGAAAGCTTTCTCATTCATAAAACAGCTGTAGTCATGGGTATGAATAGTTGTCAAACAAAACTGCTAGGTGGACAAGGGAGGTCACACTGGTGTCTAGCCCGCATATTAGGTTTCCTGCTGATAATGTGCTACAATTGGGAAAGTCTACCATATGTCACCACTTAGCAGCCAATTCAACCTTCTCTGGTGGAAACTTGCTGATTAAGAATAACGGAAGTTGACAGGAAGTGAAAACTACCAGCAATGTTTTATTTTCTTTCTCCATTCTCTTGAGATGTGGATGAAAAAATTATTGCATCCAGTAGGATTAATTAAAAAAAAAAAACATTGCAGTTGGTAATGGAAAAGTTAGGCGTAATCAAGGTTTTGAAAGAAACATGTTTTTCCTTTCTGCTATTCATTTTCCCTGAAATGATTTGCCAGCTTGTCGGCCCTTTTAGGAAGGCCAAGTCAGCAGACAGACTCCGCAAGGACTGCTGACGTTCTACTTGATTGTTGCAGAGAAGAAAACCAGAATCTTGAAAGCCAGACAGAGATTGGGTGTCCCTGCTCTTATACTAAAGAGAAAATATTTTTTAAAATAAAATAAAAATAAAATGAAGCTGATTATAGGGGCCCAAACTCTCTACCGTGTTTTCCCGAAAATAAGCCCTCCCCCCAAAATAAGCCCTCCCTGAAAATATTCCAACACAACAGCAGCCATGAGGTGACCATGTTCGTCGCCTCCTGCACCTCAAAAATAATAAGACCTCCCCGAAAATAAGACCAAGTGCTTATTTCGGGGGTCAAAAGAAAATTAGATCCTGTCTTATTTTCGGGGAAACATGGTAACATAGTGGTGATTTAGCATATCGGGTCAAAAAAGAAAAAATAGGGATGGAGTAGAGCATTCTGAGGAAGGTCATATTAAGCTGGCTGGCATCTTGATCATGTTGTAGGGGTAACACTTCCATTTTCTACCCCATGCCCTTAACTGTTTTTTTCCCCAGCGTGGCACTTTCAGCAATGGAGAAATATTGTATGTACCTTGGGCTTTTTTCCTTCTTATCCAAGCTTATCAATTAACAAATAGAGCAATTTCATTTAGCTCTATTTGTTCTAGTAATAGATAAGTTTAAGATTTCAGGTCAAATGCTGATGACTAAGCAAATGTTTATCTTTGCAAGCAAGCATTATGCTAAATAGAAACCTTGCCAACGAATACACTTTTTTTCCCTTGAGCAGTCAAATGTTACTTGTTCACTTGTCATTAAATTCAGATAAGACTTTAAAAACTTACGAAAGTGGATTGTGGAAGCCTTTGTCTAAAAATCCTCTCCTCGCAATTCAGTTTGGATGCAGGCTTGCTCAGTGATCTTTCTCTGCTGTGATATATTGCCTGTCTTTTCAACTGTTCAAAGGACTTAGCTCAGGGTTAAGAATCCTTTCTTCAATAATTGATTTTTTTTTGTTGCAAATAGTCATGGGGAGGCATTGAAGTGGACTTTAAGCTGAACAAAGTTTTGTGCACCAACAGGTTTTATTTTGATCTTCAAGATGCTGAATGTGTAGATAGCAGAGGCATCTTGCTTTAAAAGGAGATGCAGGAGTGTGTAGGTTTGTAGCCATCTCTTTCAATTTACCCCCTTAAAAATTAGTGCCTGTAAAAAATGAAAACCCTGGTTTCTTTCTGCATATGATCCAATCTTTGCATTAGCCCCTTCTGCTGCAGCCTTCCCTTCCCTAAAAGTTAAGGGCAATTCTCAGCCATTAAAAGGTCATGTCTTTGGCTTAAAAATAGGATATTGGGGCCAAGGTGTTCTGTTTGCAACCAATGTCTCACTGAGAACATTAATATGCGCCTGTAACCATTTGATATCAGAGGACGAGAGGTCTAATATCTAAAGCTAAGACAAAGCTATGAGATGGACAGACAGTGCCAGAATGACCTGATCTGTGCAGGCTGTAGCTTTCCATGGCAGTAGAGATAATTCCATTTAATTGCAGCTTGCTTTAATCTGTTGCCTCTTTAGGGAAGTTGTATGGCCGAGGATCGACAGATGACAAAGGTCCAGTGCTGGCTTGGCTGAATGCTCTGGAGGCTTACCAGAAAACCAAACAGGTAAAAGCTGGGAGTCCTGTGGACTCTACATTTGTACTAAATCACAGAAGCCATCAAGAAAGATAACAATGTAAAATGGCTGAAATGGTTTTATAACCGAACTATAGGGAGGTCTGCGTGGCTGGACAACTTCTCAGTGGCAAGCTTTCTGTATTGTGGCAAATTAATTTGTTTACTGAAATGCTCTCTCCTTTGGAAGCCTGGAGCATGACAAATGTCCAAATTGGATCTTGTTTGCTCCAATCCTAGTAAAGGAAAGGAGCTGTTTTCAGTGATTCCTAGCATTTTTCAAACCCCAAACAAATGAAAGGGGCCATTCAAAAGGAGTTCCATCTTTTGGATTACAGAGCAAAAGATGAAAAAGGAGTCAACTGAAGAAGAAGGAAAATCTATTGCCAAGGTTTTTAGTTAAGATATGACAAGCTAGTACAAGTAAGTTACCTTTAGTTAAGGTGTCTATAGAGATTCTCAGTCATCCAAGTCATGGTTGTCCCAAAGGTGTTTTTTCAAGAGGCAACTGGATTTTCTGGTTTTTCTGAGCTTGATAAGAAGCTTCTTGAATGAGAAACGAAACGTCTTCAAAGAAAAACCAGAAAGTCCAGTTGCCTTTTGAAAAAGCAGCTTTGGGACTTTAGTTAAGATATGACAAATTATAAGGAGCACCCGTAAGAGCCTTCCTTGAATCTGCTCTGCCTGAATTTGCAACCTCTTTCATCAATCTACAGTGCAATTGAAGGGCTGTAATTAGTCCAGGAATGTTGAAAACTATTGTCTTGTCCCAAATCAGTGTGCTGGTTATTTTGCCTTCCAGTTGCAGTCAGATGAACAACTGCTCTGGCTTCTGCAGAAACATTTCCAACCACTAGACTTTTCCTTTTTCTCCACAGTCCTAAAGAAAGAAGGCAGGCAGGCACTATATGCTGGAGCTTTGGAAAAGTAGTGCTGGATAAAATTGTTCTTTCCTCCATCATTGATGAAATCACTGTTAATCTGAGGGAAACTTGCTTTTGAAAGAGAAATATGCAAAGGCTGATTGTGTTCCAGATCACAGTATAGGGGGAGAAAAAACAATAACAATTTCCCACTTAACTTTTCCTGGAAGTTATTTTGAATTGCAATTCTCAAAAAAAATAGGCCGGTAGGACCCCCCCCCCCCCCCCCCCCCCCCCCCCCCCCTGTTTAGAAAACACTTCATTCAAAGTGTGTGTAGCATGACTGGAAAGTTTTATTTGGCCCTGCAGCAGAAGTCTCCAACATGGTGTCTTCCCAAGAATTTTGGAAGTATTTGATTGGTTCTAACTCTGAACATCGTAACAATCCCTACTTCTTTTTCAGTGTTGTGGCTTTGTCTTCTAGGAAATCCCAGTCAATGTCAAGTTTTGCTTAGAAGGTATGGAGGAATCTGGTTCGGAAGGCCTTGATGACTTGATTTTTGCACAAAAAGATACTTTCTTCAAAGACGTGGACTACGTGTGTATCTCTGACAACTACTGGCTGGGCAAGAAGAAGCCCTGCATCACCTATGGCCTCAGGGGCATCTGTTATTACTTCATTGAGGTAAGGACTAAGAATAATAACAGCTGATTAAGATGACAACCATAATTAGGTTGTCCTTTGTATGCTAAGCTGAAAGACATCCCATTTGTGTGCATATAGGACTGTAGCCTCACTCAAACATTGAGTGTTCAAAGTTTCAACAGCTATTTTGGCACAGTGATTGTCTCTTTGAAAAGGAGGATGCAGAAGGCAACCGAATGAAACCTCGTATCTTGTCATGGCTTCACAATGTTATTTGTACTGTGTCATTGGTGTATATCTATATTGCTTCCCATATGTCTTCCAAACTTAAAACTTTATGCAAAGTTCCTGGAAAGTTCTCATATCAGAGATGGGAAGCATTTTTGTTGTGTTGTGGGCCATTTCTCTTCAAAAGTAATCTGTTGCAGATGCCCACTCTGATGAGCAGGACCGGAGTCAAAAATGAATAGGCCTTCTCCCCTCTTCTCTTACTCCTTACTCATTGGGCTGTTTTGAAAGACCAAATAGCTCTTGTTGGAGGAAAATGCCTGAAATTAAGTTGCAGGTCATATGTAAGTTGACAAGCCTTCTTTGAGTCTAGGGATGTAAGTTGTCCACTCCTGTTTTAGGTAGTTAAATTCAATGTCCAGGTGCTTGTCACACCAAAAATCCCAGTTCAAACTACCACTTTGAGGCTTGTTATTTATTAATTATATGGCCAAAGAATTAGTTATTCTCTTGCTCTCTCTCTTGATTCTTTACTTCAACCCTAGCAACTTTCAGAAAGGTATATTTGACTTTAAAAAAAAAAAATTCTCGGCCTAAAGAAGATACTGAAAATGGAATTTTCTGAAGCAGCAATACTATAATTCACTTTGCAAGTCTCTCCGTAAAATCTGCAGAAAAAATCCTTGCTACAACAGTTTGACTTAACCTTAAAAAAGCAGTCTAAATAGTGCCTGTCAGAAAGACTCTTAATGGGCTTTGCTTTTATCTTTTTCTATAAGGTGGAATGCAGTGATAAAGACCTTCATTCTGGTGTATTTGGTGGTTCGGTCCACGAAGCAATGACAGATCTTATTGCTTTAATGGGTAAGGGCTATTTTAAGAGAGCATTGTATATAACAAGAACCTGAAACTTTGAAAATCAGTGCTACGTGGGAATACACCTCCCTTAGTTTGTACCTTCCCTCATATTAACGATTGCAGGATTTAGTAATGTGGTCATGCTTTAAGGGGAAAAAAAGAAACAGCCTTGACCCTCCCTAAAAGCTCTTGATAATGCCAGGTTAACAATTGATGGACTAATGAGAATCTTAACAAGAGGGTAAAGATCTCCAAGGACAAAGATTAATTGCAGCATTGTTGGACCTAGGAAGCACAGATTTATTAACAGCCTATTGAATGTCGTTTCAACTTATGAGGTGGTTGAAGGTAAAATTTGAATTCTAGCAACTTTTCCCAACCAAGGTGTCTTCCAAATGTGTCTCGTATCCCAGAATTCCCCTAGTTTGTATAGCCATTGCCAGATATTTTAAGAATTGAAGTCCTTAGGGGATACCCAGTTTTTGGGGGGGGAGGGGGGCTTGAATATAATAATGATGCAGTTGTTATTGGCTTATTATTATGTTATTATGCATATTGGCTTTACTGAGCCTGAAACATCATCTCGCCCTTTATTAGCTAGTGTGGTTCTCTCTTCCCATTTCTGCTGTTTGTTTCTTTATTGTTTCATGAGCAAGAGACTAATACTTGCTCCGGTGAGAGCAGATTAGAATTGCATCGAACTGTCAAATTCTGTTTCATAGCATGCAGTGCGATTCCTTTGGATTGACTCCATAAGCACTTGGCTTCCCCATCAAAGGCACGTCAACTCATCATCAACTGAAAGCCACACAAACAACCTCCTGATCCCACTTTACCATACTGCTCTCCTGAGAATGTGCTATTAGTACATGACATGAGGGCAGGATTATTCTATGGCTTAGGGACATTTTGGCTTTGGTTGTCACCCCATCCTTTCCATCTTCTGGAATGGCCCTAAATTGTTCTGGAGGAAATTCTGACACTTAGAATTGATTGATGTTTTGTCAGATATTTCTTGCCTTCAAATAATGAAGGCAGAAAGGAATCGGGTTTTGAGGAGGGATATAGCTCTGTGTGGGTTCTTCTCTGTTTTAAAGCTTTTTAAACCAGACAGACCAAGGAAATTTCTTCTATCTGTCTTAGTCCAGAAGAGAACCTTTGATCTTCACTCACAGCAATAAACCCAGGCCTCCTAGAAATTAATAACTGGAAATATCTGCCTAGGCGACAGCAAGTTAAGCCTTGAAAGAATTTATTGGGCAGAGAGAAATTTGTGAGACAGCAGTTAACAGCAAAGGTCTGGTGGTTTCCGCCTTTGGACACAATTGACTGTATTCTAAAATTGGGGAAGAATGAGAATTCTAGTTCCCCTTTCCGTTTAATTAAGATTACAACTTTATAGTAACTTTCAGAGGGTCTACCAAGAGGAGGCTCATCCTGGGACCTAAACTGCATGCTCTTTGGCTTATAGAAGAAGGGTGCTCAGAGAACAGTCTTCCCTGTGTCGAGGCGGAGCCTGACCTTAAATCCTTTCCCTGCTTGAATTGGCTATAAGATGGATCGCTTGGCAGGCAGGGCAATTAGCTGAAGAACAGCACTGCCCTGTAGCTCTGCATGCATTTTAGTGTGTTTGTGTCTAAGGTCTAAAAAAAATAAATTGGAAATCCTATCTAAAAAAGAGAATGTTGGCTATGTTTATTTTTATCAGCAGCTTTTGTGTAGATGCCAGTGTGCCTGTAGTGCAGCTCTCATTGTTTGCCATTTTCCCTGCAGCTGCCATTTCAGTATGATAGGCAGGAATGCAACAGGACAGTGATGGTTAACCTTTTTGGTGCTGAGTGCCCAAAGCACATACGTGCCCGAATACCCAAAATGCAGTGCAAAAACCCACCACCCCCATGGATGCGCGCGCAACCCCCACACATGCACACATCCCCTGGGCAACCACTCTGCTCCCCCACACCCTATTTTGGCTTTCAGGTTGGTGCAGGAGGCTTTCCATGCCCAAAATAGGGCAGGCGGGGGGGGGGGAGCTTGTGTGGTGCTCCAGCTCTGTTTTGTCTTCCAGGTTGGTGCAGGAGGCTTTCCAGGCCCCAAATGGGGCGTGAGGTCCCCCTGCACCCTGTTTTGGGCCTGGAAAGCTTCCTGCACCACCACCCTCATGCATGTACCCCATGCCCCTGCGCATACACACCTGTCCCCCGCATGTGCCCCGCCCACCACACATGCGCAGCAGAGACCTGAAGACCAGTTGGTCAGTGGGAGGCACGTGCGCATATGCGGTGGAGCTGGGCTGGGGCGACGGCTGGCGTGCTCACAGAGAGGGCTTTGTGTGCCACCTGTGGCATGCATGCCTTAGGTTCACCATCACAGTAATAGGAAACCAGAAGCTTTGGATATGACTAGGACAAGCTTCTCAGACTGCCTTTAATAGCACATGGCTCTTTCTTTACAGGCTCCTTAGTGGATAAGAAAGGAAAAATCCTCATCCCTGGCATTTACGAGACCGTGGCGTCACTCACAAATGAGGAGAAGCAACTTTATGACAAAATTGACTTTGACTTAAAAGAATACGCAAAAGATGTTGGAGCCACAAAACTGCTCCATGACACAAAGGTGAGGTGGATCTTCTTACCAGTTTTGTAAGCAAGAGAAGCAAATTTTGTGATGTGTCACTTTTAAGCAGCCTAACATTTCATAATTAAGAGTACTTTAAAAAGGTAACAAGATGTCTAAACCAGGCTTATCCAACCTGGTAGTCTTCAATTCTGTTGGGATGCATCTTTCATATATTATCAGCCTGTTCTTGCAAATTTAGGTTGTGCATCTGGTTAGAGGAAGCTATTTTCTTCTGTGGACAGTGGAACTGGCACAACTATGCTCTCCACTTCCCCCCCCCCCAAAAAAAACACCCAGATTTGTGGAAATGGCTGCTCTTGTATGAGCTCTGTGTATTGAGCTCTACATCGTTGTCATTTTCATAATTAATTGGCATGCTTGTCAGTTGGTGGGCTAAGGTCACTTTCAACTCTGAGGTATGCTTCTGCAGATACATGCATAACATTGTATTATTAATCTGAGATTTCTTCGCTTGCGTACACATACTATTATAATCCATCTTTTAAGCATTTGACTCCTCTTTTGATTGGGGAGGGACGTGGATTTGGAAGGCCTTTCTAAATAATTTCTAGTAAGGATGCTTTCTCTTTCTGATCTGAAGCCAAAAAGGAGGTTTTGGCGCAAGTGCGGGCATTCACACTGCACCCTCTGTATCCTTAAAAGAGGAGGAATGTATATTTTCCTGGATTTTTTGGACCAGAGTTAGCCCTCAACTTAAAACTACAGAATTTACATTGCTAAGCAAGGCGGTTGTTAAGTGAGTTGTAGCCTGTTTTACAGCTTTTTTGCCATGGTTGCTAAGTGAATCATGCAGTCATTAAGCAAATCCAGCTTTTCCCATTAACTTTGCTTGTTGGAAGTCACCTGGAAAGGTTGCAGATGATGATCACATTAAACTGGGGTTCTGCAACCCTCATGAATACATGCTGGCTGCCAATTACCTGAATGTTGATTGTGTGACGGGGATGCTGTGACAGTCATAAGTGTGAGCGCTGGTTGTAAGTCACATTTTTCAGGACTGCAGTCTGTAAACGAATAGTTGTAAGTTGAGATGTACCACTAGTTGCCTAGTCTCAAGAAATAAGTGTTTGAATTAATGAGGTTCCAGGAAATTCTGATAGCATTCTATTGATATCTTAATTCCACCACGTTGTTTCCTAGAATTGCACAGCTACTCAGAGAATCAGGAAAATATGTAGTTTCTTGACAAATCCACTGTCAGATGTGGCATGTGCATTTTAATTAGTGAAATATAAACACATCATCTATGATAAACTCAGTAAGAAACTCTATATACCTAGTGATTAAAATAGACAAAAGAATGAGAGGAAGGAAAAAAATATGATTCATGTACATAATTATGTATCAATATAAAACTAGTCCAACCCTTAAACTTTTTACTAAATCTGTACCATAAAAGCACATTGTTCCATATTGGCACATTGATCTAAAGAACAGAAGGTAAACATGATCTTTTACTAGATTAATATTAGGCTATTGGGGGAATACAAATATTCCAGTTCTATCATTATCCAAGGTAGCCACAGGTTCATGATTTATAGTTTTGCCTTGAATCATTCTACTATAAATATACAATTAATGCCTACTTTCTCTCTTCTCTTTAATGTCTTTTATAGGAAATGATTTTGATGCACAGATGGCGGTACCCATCCCTATCCCTTCATGGCATAGAAGGGGCTTTCTCTGGATCTGGTTGTAAAACTGTGATACCACGAAAAGTGATTGGCAAATTTTCAATCCGATTAGTGCCAGATATGACTCCTGAAGTTGTAACTAAGCGGGTATGTGTCAAAGGAAAGTAGATAAGGAAGCTCAAATCACAATTCAGAACACTGTATGTTAACTACATCAGCAGAAGCCAGGATTAGGGCTGTGCTAGAAATTCCTTCATTAGGGAGGCAGGCTGTGTTTTGGGCTTTTTCCAATTTTAGTTGCGGCTTTGCAAATACTTTTTTAATGGATGGTATGTAGCATCCATGATTTGTAAAATTATCTCAAGCACTAATACACAGCCTTCATGTGAGAGAAGTGGGCAGAATTGAAAAAAGTCCCATCTCAGCTTGTGATACGAAAATCCAAACTTGGACATTTCCTGTCCCCATAAACAGTTTTGATTCTTAAATCCTTTCCCACCACAATTACTGCCTTAGCCTACAAAGTGCTGTGAATTCAGAGTTAGTTTCAGTGCCATTTAGTATGTTCCCTGATATATGCAGTAGTGTAAGGCAAGTCAAATATTGGTAAGAGTGTAGTTCAAACTTTGCCTATATGCAAAATAGGGTTGAAGTACATGATTGTACTCAAAACGGTTTGTTTATTCAGATGTAAGGAATTGATATGTCTTAAACAGAGTTTCTGCAAAGTTGACCAATCATTTTGTTCCGGTTGTTTTAAGTAACAAGTTTTTAATCATTACTAAAGGTTGAGGAGTACTTATCCAAAAAGTTTGCTGAGTTGCACAGCCCCAACAAATTCAGTGTAAAGTTGGGCCATGGTGGAAAACCTTGGGTGTCAGATTTCAATCATCCCCACTATATGGCTGGCAGAAGAGCCATGAAAACAGGTCAGTACATCTTTCATTGTTTCTTTCAATATCTTAATCAAAATATGATCTAAGATATCTTTTGTGTATGACCAGTATCAAGATAAAAATGTAGATACTTTAGAGCACGGGTGTCAAACTCAAATCGCATTATGTGGCGTATTGCAACGTTTTTTGCCTTTGCGGATCCGGGGTGGGCGTGGCCTGCATGTGACTCATCCAGCCCGCAGGCCCCCAGTTGGACACCCTGGTTTAGAGTGAGTGCATACCAGAGGTGGTATTCTGCCAGTTCGCCCTGGTTCACGCGAATCAGTAGTAGTAGTGGCAGCGGGAGACTCCCTCACTTGCCCAGATGTCATCACGGATGCTCTGCGCTCCCGGTTCTGAACCACTAGCGAAGGTAAGAGGATTTCATGCCTGGTGCATACAGTGGCAAAAAATAGTTTTCATGAAAATCAACCTGGGAAATGGTCCTTAAAAAGATAACAGATGGGTATTGTGTTAATGCAATGTCAACCTGCTGGAAGATTATAAAGAGATAAGAGGTACATGAAAGAAAATATTTTTCACAGCCTAAATATCAGAATGTACAAATTCTGATAGTCCTTGGAGACCAACCAAACTTTATTTTGGGTTGTGAGAATGGAAGTCCCAACACAACTAGAAGCTACCATGGATGATAAGGTTGATAAAGAAAATGAGGATTGCTGTTAATCTTCTCCTTTGTTTTTCCTAGTCTTTGGTGTGGAGCCAGACCTGACTCGCGAAGGAGGGAGCATTCCTGTCACATTGACTTTTCAAGAAGCAACAGGCAAGAATGTGATGCTGCTTCCTGTTGGGTCTGCTGATGACGGAGCCCATTCTCAGAATGAGAAACTTAATAGGTGAAGAAACATATGTATTGTTTATCATTACCCAAGTTGGAGCTCTAGTGCTATGAGCCAGATTTAATTCATTGGCTAGAGATTTTCCACTTGTATTTTAGATTTTGCTGGGATTGCTCGGGTTCTCGGTTTGTTTTGTTTGGGGGCTTCATTTAATATGAGATGTTTCCTTTCCAGATACAACTATATTCAAGGAGTGAAGCTTCTGGGTGCTTACCTTTATGAAGTTGCCAAGTTGAAGAACTGAATCTGAATTTATTTTTTATTTTATTTTATTTTGCAATTGTGCTTTTGAGATCTGAAAGATCTTGAAAATCTTGAAAAGTTGCACTATTTCAATTCCCTTTTCTCCTAGTCTAACTTATGCCAATATTATACCTGGTGGAATATTTTGAAACTCAGTAAAGAGCACTTTATACAAACATATTTGATGCTGATTTTAACCCTAACCCTTTTCCAAAAAAAATCATGTGCTCTGTTCAAGGCGTTATTCCAACACAGCAACTCTCCAATTGACTTCCCTTCCCTTCCCTTCCCAACAAAGTAGAGGGAGTTGGAATCTCTGGAAAACTTCTAATGATTGAGTGATCTAAGCTAAGAAAGCAGCAGCAAATGATCACATAATGCCTCACATTGACTTGCCCCCAAGACAGAATCTGAGCCCAGTTCTTTGATCTGAGTGGAAGAAAATAACAGTTTATACTTGAACTTACAAAAACAACACGTCCTTCTAGAAGGATCCAAAAGGAATGAAAATACAGCCATGGGTGGGGAAAGAGGAGAAGAGCCCCTGTGGGACATGTAGTTGCTTATTTACAGATTTTTCCAATCTGTGCAGACATCTCATAATAATAACACATTGGTATTTTTCTACAGCATTCTTTGTACTCCATGTGGAAAAGCTGCTAAATAAATTCAACTTTGATCTATCAGTTCTGATGTTATTTATTGCTAGACATTGAAATTTTGAGGCTATTGGTAGCTTGCAGCTTTAAGAACGCAGGAGGAACGAGTCACAAATTCCAGAAGAAATCAAGACTTCAAAACATCATGTAGTTGGTTTATTATGGCATCTACAGACTAGAACAGTCTTCTCAACCTTGGTAAACTCAAGAAGTGTGGACAAATCCCCAGAATCCTCCAGCCAACAAGACTAACGGGGTTACTGGGAATTGAAGTCTGCACATCTTTTGGGCTACAGCATGCCTCAGAATTACTAGGCTGCCCTCTCCTTTTCTTCTTTTTCTTTCTTTTAGCTCCCCCTACAATTAATTGCAGTCAATTGCTGTTGTCTCATAGGTCATAATTTGAAGTTGTCTTAATTAAATTCCATGATGGAAGATCATTTAAACCACGGGCAGCATTCACATGTGCTAAGCCATGAGTTATTAAACAAGCCATAGAATTCTGGTTAGCACAGAGCCATAAAACAGTTTCAAAACTACAGTGACTTCGTTTATCCAACATATTGAACAGAAACCAAGGAAAACCTATTTTAACTTGATACAATTTATAAAGCCAGCTTTAATCATTCTACTTTAAACATCTAAAACAGTGGTTCCCAAAATTGGCAACTTTAAGACTTGTAGACTTCAACTCCCAGAATTTTCCAGCTAGCTCTTCTGGCTGGAGAACTCTGGGAGTTGAAGTCCACAAGTCTTAAAAGTTGCCAAGTTTGGGAAACACTGATCTAAAATAACAATGTATGACATAACTTTTCCCCACAGGGATTTTAAGTCTTATTCTTCAGTGTAAAATCAAATTATTATGGTCATAGATCAGCATAAAGAAAGTGAAGTACAGTCATTTAAAGAAAACATAAAAGATACATTTAAGAGTAAAAATAAATGTTAAACAAATTTTGAAAAACTAGACCATATAAAAGGTATATGAATAAAAAACAAAGTTTTTTATATATAAAACTATAATATAAAATAAGATGTAGGAGTATTAGATTTGTGTAGGGAAGCATAACAGGTTAATATGAAGAAGATCTATGAAGTTTCAGAGAATATTGAATAGGGCTTATGATGGTGAACATTTTGGGCTCAGGATGGAAAATGCCTAACATGACTGCTGGTGTGTCACCACCCCTCCTGAAATAAACAGAAGATAATTATTTATTTTCAAAAATCCAGTTCAATTGTGTGGTGCTATGTATTACATAAAGTACGGGTGTCAAACTCACTGTGTCACGTTGCTGTCACATGACGTTTCACGATGTTTTTCCCATTTGGGGTGCTGGGAGTGGGCGTGGCCTGTGTGTGTGAGACGCATCTGGCCCTTGGGCTGCCTGTATGACACCCCTGACATAAAGAAATATCAAATAACTTTAAAAAATGAAAAGAAACTCATTTTTGGAGGCTCCAGAGGTTATACAAGATCATAGCCCTTTCACACAACTTCTGGAGGTTGTGCAAGAGCACCCATCTTTCTCACAGCCTCCAAAATCACACTAAAATGGGTTGTGCTTTTTAGAATAATTGTTGGTGTTGATGAATCCTGATGTGTTGTCCAAAACGTCATGGCATGTTACCTTTGACACATGAACTACAGGTGTTCGTTCAATCTACAGTATGTTATAACAGGGTTCGTATCGGAAAGTAGCAGGGAGGTTTTGAATTGTTTTGCAATGTATATTTTATACATTGTTATTGCAAAACATTGTATAAAACATTGTTTTATACAATGTTTTGCAATAATACAATGAGTATTTTGCAAATACTCATCCTGAGTATTTATGTTCAGTAATAACAGTGAGTAAACGTGAGATGAGGCTACTATGACGGTTTCTGTAGTACAGACACTAGAGAAGCATTTGCTGTGTTGTTTCTGTGTGTTCAGGGTCTCCAGTCATTGGATCTTGGAGTAAGGAATCTTCCCATATCGGCCTTGAAGGGCAGCTGAAGGGTCAGTGTCTATCTTAGTTGTTTCATAAGTTTCCATAATAGTTATGACCAAAGAAAATATTGTTGAATACTAGGTTGCTGTTTTCCCTGGTTTCCATCCATATACAACAGTAGTTACATAAAACAAGCAAAATAAAGGAATTTCAGAGCGGTGGCCAGATGGATAACAATCAAGGGGTCATTATTTATTTGGAGGCTTGCATCACATTATTTAGAATAATGAACCTTTGTCCTTAAGCCTGCTGTCCACATATTAAAAGCACAAAGGCACAACAGGGAGGGGGTGCTTTTATAAAAAGAGCTGCAAGCTACAGAAAGGATCTTGAATGAGCAGTACTTTCTGTGTTGGATGGGACAAGAAGAAACCTTATTTGCTGTCAGAATTTTTGTCATGGTAAGCCTTCAAATTTTAAGTATAAGTATCATCTTTATTGTCATTGTACTTAAATACAATGAAATTGGTTTGTCTATTGATTGTAATACTGCAAAATATACATACGTACACCTTCAAATGATTTTCAGATGGACTAGCTGCTTTAATCAGAAGGCGTTTGGTAGCACCTTTTCAAACTAAGAGGCTTTATTAAAAGTCGCTATGAACCAAGGCTCACTTCCGATTTTTGACTAATGTAGCCTAATACCAACTGTCCTATAAGTCTGTACTTAGTTCAGAAGAACAATCTTTTTGGAAATTTGCACCAATTTTATTTCTATGTGCTTAATGCAGATGACCATTGCTCAAAGTGCAGACAGGATTTACACATCGTGCTAAATTGTCATAGGGTATATATTATAATAGCTTGGTGTATATACCCATTGCGATTTGTCTATTTGTTTTTTCGGCTCAGCATATAGGGGATTCCTATCACTGTTAAGTTTATTCAATCACAATGGGTTAAATTGCCTTTGTGCAGATCTAATTAGAGATAGTACTGCTTTACCATATCTTCCTCTTTATCTGTATTTGAAGTGAGAAGTAAATCCATCTTTACAACTATATAAGATAAGACAAATTAACAAACTCCTGGATTCAGTTGGTAGAGATTGTAATGTTAAAATATTGGAATAAACCAAATTTAACTTTCCATGTTTTCATCAAGAAAGGGGACCTATTTTCTTCCTCATGGCAACTTTGGCAGTGTGATAAGTAATTGTTAATAGATTTCTTAGCTTATTCCTGACTTGCCCTTTGTCAATTCAGAGATATATAAACTGAGAGGAGGGAAAAAAATAATTTTATTTATCTGCATGGCTGGTTTTTTTCAGGTATGTTCAATCAGGCATTCTGAAAACAATTATTTCCTTAGTGTAATATGTATATATGTAGCCACATTGCTAACTTGCAATGCTTGGGAGATTTTGCTCAGGCAGTCTTGTCAAGATGTGACTGCAGTTAATGTTATGCATGGAATCTGAAATGTCACAGATTTAAGGAGCCTTGTGCACAAAAATCATTAATTATCCAGTAATAGGAAAAGTTTCCTTTTAGACTACTTTTTTTTAATTCAATTCTTAAACAAAAATGAAGCTCCTGTTCTGGTGGGATCAAGTGGAAGCTGAATGCTATTTGAATGCTGGTATTAAATACACCCTAAACTCGGAGATCAAAACCCAAGATGTAAAGCACAAAATGAATCAAATGGATACAATACAGCTTGGAACAGAGTCACAATGCCAAGAGCTACAGGATTGCTGATATCAACTGAGGGCAAAGAGAATTATTGATTCCTAGGAGAACAGGTCATTAACCTCACTCAGCAAAATACTCACTTTCCTGATTAACTTTATAGCCTTTTACTGAAGTTTATTGGGATAAAGGGGAAAATAGGTGCTTTATCCAGACAGCAATGGAGAAGTATATTTTTCCCTCTCCACATCTAATAGTCAATCGGTTCTGATCCCTAGAAGGTAGTGTTGAAAGAAATGTCCTTCTGGGTTCAGCTCCAAGTGGGGAAGAAGACACTGGAGACATGGAGGCTGCTTGGAAAGATGGTTTACTGTTGGACAGGGCCACATGGCTTGAGCCATGTACAGAAAAGGTGATCACACGTTTCAACGTTGATGGAGAAGAAGAGAGAAGGGCTGAG